CCCCCTTCATTCTTGAACGCAAGCGGAAAAACAATGTGGGTTGAAAAAAAAACTGAGAAAAGCAAAAAAGTCAGCTAGTTAAGGCACAAAATCTCATCAATGAGACGAAGAGCAATTCGAAAGTGTTAAACTGCCCTGAAAATCTTAAGAATCAAAAGGACAGCGACAGCTAATGGAAAACTGAGTTATGAAAGAGAGTGTAATTTTACTTCGAGGAAGTATCATTGGCATGGAGACATTTTCACGGAAGAAAGTCAAAGCTGGAGTTGCGTTACTCCCGGTCGCGTTATCGCGAGCCGTAGGCTTACCTTGCAAGTTCCCGAATCGGCAATCATGGCCAATCTTCAGTGCAGCTGGTAGTAAATTAATTCCAACCAATGGGCCACCATTTCGGCACTGGCCCGAAATATTGTGCCGTCGTAAATTTCGGAATGACAATACACTGTTAACAATGAAATTGTAAATTGCACAATAGGGTTGGATATTGAAATCACCACACAGGACATATGGGCATTCACGACCGGATTTCGGACCACACTCCTGGAAAAGAACAAAAAACAAAAGACTATTTTCTACTGTTCCAACTATGCAATTTCAGTGACTATCTGCTCTTCACGGTTGGCACCTCAGAACTGATAATCGGCTGTTTACAATTCCCTCCTTGTTTTACCCTTCCTTCCCATTGGCTGCCTACTAACAGCATGTACAGTTCAGGATTGCTGGTGTCACTTCCACGATATTTAACGTTATTCCGACTGAATACAGCACTTTTCGACTATTTATAGTCACTGCTAGATTTATAGAATACAAGAGAAGCATTATGGACAATGGAGGAAGCCCTGCTAACAGTGATGTTTCAAACGTCGAACGCCAAGAAAAATGTCGCAGCTGTATTCACTAAAAAGCTGCTAATGCCAGAGTAAATGGCGGCACTTCTGAATGCTCTACGAGTGGACATCCACCAGTGGAAAAACCAAAAAAAAGCCATCTTTTATGCGAGACATTCGTTTGTACTCGAAACGTTGCATTATCGAGGCTTGAAATTTCCAAACTACTTTTCCAGGCAATTCTTGAAAAGAACTAGTCAATTCTGCTAGCGATTAAGGGAGAGGGAGGAGGGGGAACGGATGATGGTCGTTTTCTCAAAAAACTGCATTACACAATAAAATTTCATTTTCTTTGACAAACATAAGTGGTACTTTAACCCTTGTTGGATGCTAAAAAAATTTTATTGAGGTGCTAGAAAGTGGCTTTTTCAATATATCGCACTAAAAACTGTCAAAAGTGCATCGTATCAAATTTCAGCAGTGAAAGGAAGCTGTCGCATTTTGACTCATCTGCATAAAAATCAATCATACCTTGTCAATGTTTGCAAGTAATACGGCAAGTTGAGCAAGTTTTACGTCGCCACGTCGCTTGTTAAATAACAGATGCGTATTTGCAACACATATTTCCTTTTTACTGTGGGAATCTTTCAGACGTACCAGTTGACCTGAAGGAAATATCAAAACTTCCAAGTTTGTCAAGATAATCGGTGTGGATATCCAATACTAGAATACTAGCGCCATTACTGAGATGCG